TCAGTACCGAGTATGAGAAGTTCTACGTGTGTAATACAATAGAATAGTCGTATGTGAAAACTTTCTGATTGAAGAAATAGAACTGATTTCGATCGGTAGATGTTTTTTGAAAGAATTTATGTCGTTAAAAATTTCATTTTATCTTATTCGGGTCGTGTAGTTAAATTGTAGAAGTGTACTGAAGTGGAGTAATCAAATATTTATAGTTAGGAGAAGAATCCAGTCCATGTGAAAAGAGTTGAAAGCTGTGACACATCTACTCATAAATTGACTAGTTTGTTTTTTTGTTTATTATGTTAATTTTCTTTTTTCTTTTTGTATAAATCAATGAGTCTATTTTATTTTCTTTAAAATAAAAGAATTACTTAAAAATCTTTCAATTTAAAATGAAAAATTCTATAAATTTTATTTCATTGACTTAATAATATTCATATGAAGATAGTCATAAACGATACTATTCGAAATCTAATTAATATATCTCAAATTTTATTTTTTTGAAAAACCTACAATGAATCACGTCCATATTGAATAGATAATTGACAAGCAAATGATCCTTGTTGTATAGTTAAGTCTCTAGCACCATGTACAGTAACAATAAATTCTCTTCGATGAATATTATATTGAAATGAAAGCTAAAATAAAAGCAAAATAAATATTTAAAATTAATTATATGAATTTCCTTGTAATACTTGTAATCGAATATTATGTTCATTCTTCTTTGTTGTTGTATCATGTTCTAAATAAAATTTATGATATATTTATATATCTATATATATGAAATTTACATTTAAAAACAAAAATATATATATATATTTATCGAGATAAAAAAGAATCATGATGAGGTATATTCATATCAGTTGAAGATTCATGTCGAGTGGAAAAACAATGTGAACAACAAGAAAAAATATTATGTTCAAATATTGACTTTCGATTGGAAGTAATAGAATGTCGTGTTAACCGTATATTACTATCAATCGTTGATGATGATGCATTTTGTGTTATTATATTTGATGATGATGAAGAATTTATTTTCATTGTTGAACGTTTTAATGAAAAACGTGAATAAAAATTTTGAAACGATTCAGTTAATTGTTGACTAGTGGGAAACGATAATTTTCTTTTATTAATATTTAAATCCGTTGTTTTTTGTAATATATTATTTTGTTGAATACCCGAATAATCATCATTTATATCTAATTTTGATAAACTTAAATCGGATTCAGAAGAATTTTGTCTTTCAAAAGGTGATGATGGTGGTGAAACAAGTATTGTCGGCTGTGATAAAGATATTGATGGAAAATTTTCCATTGGAACTGTTAATTTTGGAAAATTTGAAAATTTTTTTGATAAACGCATTAATACATTTGGTCGTTGTATATGTTGTTTTTCTTGAACTTTTATTGATGGTTCAACGGAAATTACACTATTATCATTATCAGAACCATTGTCATTTTTAAATACGATATTTTCAAAGACAACCATTCGTGCTGATGGTTGCTTTGTCAATGTCATTGAGCTCGACGTTTGTCGTAATGAACACTCCGACAAGAAAAAAAAAGGCGTCTTATACTATGAGTAAGAATAGTGACTATTTTCTTCTTTTTCTTGCTTCTCCTAACTCTGATGGGAGCCAAATACTGCCGTCATAAAAGAAAAGAAGAGAGGAAAAAGATTTAGTATTCATGCGGCAAAAGAAGGCGAGAGATGAGAAAAGAACGAGTATTTGTCCAAGTTGTTATTCATCGTCGTTCTTCTCCTCCTTCATTTTTCTTTCCGTACAGTTCATTACAACTTTTTTTTTTTTCTTATTCTTTTTTTCTTCTTTTTGTGTATGATGATGAAGGAAGGAAGCAAATACGATAGTAGCGACAATAGTGACGTACAATTAAATAGACAACATGAAATGCTTATTACTAATTACTAAAATAGATCACATAAAATCTAATTTTACCTTGTGATAATATTATTGAACTAGGAAGAGTTGTTAATGATTGTTCATTACTTGACAATGTTGAATATCTATATATACAAAAAATAATAATAATAATTTTGAAAAAAACAAAAAAAACAAAAAAAAAGAAGAAAATTCCATTGAGATTTGAAAATCTCATGAGAATAAAATAAATTGTAAAGGCTGTCGATTGCATGTAACATACAAAAAAATAAAAAAACAAAGAAAAATTACAATTTTTACCTTATCGGTCTTTTAACAATCATATGAATATCTGGTGATTGCATGGAATTTTGAGATATTATTTGATAAACATCATTGTAATTTAAATTAGTTAATTTTTTTCCATTCCATTCAAGAACTTTATCACCTTTAACAACACAAAAAAAAATATATATATAAAATCTTTGCTTTTGTTTCTAAAATATACCTATTTGTAATTGTCCACAATTATCAGCTATACTACCTGGTGTAACTTTAGTTATTTCAGCAATCATTGTAACAGTTTCATCATCATTCTCTTGACAAATACCACCTTGAATTTTCAAACCTATGCAAACAATAAATTCTTTATTTTATTTTTATTTTTTTATTGTTCAAACAAACCTAATGCAGTAAATATATCTCCCTTCATAAGTTTTCCTTGTTCATATTCATCACGTATTGTTGGTGTCCAAGTATTATTTTTAAGATGAACATAACCAATTTTTTCTGTACGATTTTCATTTAAACGCCAAGTAGTTGTTGACTAAAAATATATTGAAAATGTGTCTCTTTTTCTTTTTTGGATTAATAATTTAACATGAATAGAATAAAATTTCACAAAAGACAAAACGACAAATAAATACAACATTAAAATGCCATTAATATTGAGTATAAATTTTAAAAAAACCTTTTTGGATGGATCAATTGATAAAACATTAAGTATTGTACTTGAACTAGCTGTATCAATTCCTGAATCTTTTAATGTTGTTTCATGTCCGAGATATTTTTCTTCAAATGAATGATATTGAAATTCTTTTAAATTTATTTGTGGATTATGTGTTGAACGTGATAATGGTAATGATGAAAGAATATCTTCATCATTTTTGTTCACTAGACAAAAATAATGATATACAATAAATACATACAAACAATAAGAATCACTACAACTAGAAGAAGAAGAAGCAAATGATAATATAAGGGAAAGGAAATATTAGGTATGTGTGCATGCATTTAAAATAAATAAATAATAATACGAGAAAAAAAAAACATAATATATAAAAACTAATAATAAATTATTATAAATGCACCGTTGTTAAAAAATTTTCCAATTTGGCTGCTAAAATTTCTTGTTTTTGCCAAGTATCATTTGCCAACACAGCTCCTAGAAAATTTTTTCTTGATGATTGTTTTTTTTATTATTTTTCAAAAGCTTCTCAAGGAATTTTATCTTCTTCTTCTTCTTTTAGATGTAGGATTAATTAAAATAAGTTCTAATGCTTACCACGCAGTACAGATTCATTATCATCATTAACTGAAGCTGAATCTGGTGATGAAACAGCACCGTCATCTTGTTCTGAACTAGAATCTTCTTTTAATTCTTTTTGTTGTTGACGTCTAATATGTGTTGTTGGAAGTATTCGTTTACGTTGTTGTATTATATTTGGATTTAATTTTTTATTAGCACCATTTTTATTTATTTTAATATCTTCATCTTCTTTTTCATTTGTATCAAATGGTTGTGATAATATATAATCTGATACATATTGTTTTGATATATTTTTTGTATTTTCATCATTTATATTATTTGTATTAATTGATGTTGTTGTTAATTGTGATACAGAACTTGTTGTTGGAATTAATTTTCGTGAAGAAAAATAACTTTCTTGTTTTTGTCGACATATATTACATAACCAAAATGTCTAAAATAGAATAATAATAAAAATTCAATATTAAATAATAAAACTAACCTTATTATATTGATGTCCTTTTAGTCGTACACCACATCGTACACAAAGACGTTTTTTACATATTGAACATTGACGTGCTGATTGTTCATCAACAAATTTTGTTTTTTTACATATTTCACAACAAACACCTGATTCATTTAAAAAACTTCCTTGAGGATGTGTTTTAGTCTGTTGTGAATATCGTCGACCAGCCATTGCAACTGGAGCTGAATAATCATCCATACGTGATCTTAAATAAATAAATATAAATATTTTATTATTTTTAATGTTTTAGTTTTTTTTTTCTTCTTCTTACTGTAAAGCCAAAGCATCTCGTTGTTCTTCAGCTTTTTGTCGATTAATAACAGCTTCAATTATTTTTCTTTCATCTTCAGTTAAATGACTTAAATCAGGTGTTATATCCATTTGAATTTAGATTTATTCTAATAAACAATAAAAGACATCCATCTTTTTAAGGAGCCTAGAAAAATAAAAATAAAAAATAAATAATATTATTTTAAAATTAAATAAAAATTTCTCAAGTTTTGGTTTTTCGTGCTTTACCATAGCCCCATTGAATCAATAGGGCAATCGTGTTCGATGCCAGTGTGACAGTTAGTTATTTCTGTTGTTGTTATTGTGTTTTTTCTTCCTTAAATTAGCTCCTGTTCTCCAATTTAGGACACCATGTGATCTAAAACAAAAATGCAAAGAAGACAACAACTTTGTTGAATACTAGTTAAATCTCCGGAGATCTGCAATCAGTATGTATTTGACATTGAAAGTGCAAAGGCTTCACTAGCCATGCTCAGCGCTCCGCTTCCTGTTCTTGTCTTTGCCTTTGCGCTCGCCCGCTCGTTTCTTGCATGCTATCCTTATTTTGATTGGTTCAAGAAACCTGATCTTTTACCATAATGAAATTTTTTTATCCTCCATTATTATTAATAAGTTATTTAACTTCGAAAATTATTTATTAAATAAAATAATTATTTAAAAAGTAATTTTACTTTTGATAAGAATTTTTTCTTTATTTAAATTAATTGTTTCCATGACAACTAATAGTTTAATGGTAAAGGATTTATTTTTGTTTTTTGTCATTTCTTTTTAATGATCAAAATATGTCGGCTCAAGTGGATAGAAGTCAAAGTGAAAGAAGAAGCGCATCGACATTGGCTTTAGATCCATATTGTGAATTAGCTCGCCGAAAATATTTTGATGAAGAATTAGAAGCGATTCGTTCTCGTTCACGTTCAATTTGGTCAAGACCTGATACATCATTAACAACTCATGGTCATTATTATGGTGATCCTGAACAAACTGAACGTACTTTATCAAGACCAACATCAGCTGGACGACATCATAATCCACATCCGAAATTGTAAATAATTTTATTCGTGAATTTTTTTTTGTTTTGTTTGGCTTGCATATATATGTACATATATTATTCTAATTTAGAGTTTTTATGAGAACAGGAATGAGAGAAATTCCAAATGCATATGGCGCACCATCGGCTCGTATTACATCACGTGAACGTAATTTTATTAAATAGAAAAAAAAAAAGTAACAAAAATACTGTTCTATACTTTTTTTTTTAAAGAAACAACTCATAGAAAGCCATTAGTTCCTGATTATTTAGAAGAAATTCAAAATTTAACACCTTTTGAACGACAAGGTGCTAATGCTTTTTTAAAATTGGCTAATGACAATTCAAAAATGAATGTTGTACAAGCAATTAAAAATTATCGTACTTCAATGACAAATGAATATGAATGTCCACCTATTGGTGTAAGGCAAACTTTCAAAATATTTCTATTATTATATAAGATGTACTTTGTAGGCTTCAACAATTTGTCGACAAGATGGAAGTCGAAGTGAATATTATCCATCTATGGATAGATTTCGTCAAGCAATACGAAATGATAAAGGTATTAAAAATAAATCATTATTGATAACTTATCGTTTCAAGTACTAAACCATTTATATATGATATTTGAGAATAAAAGAATTATATAATCAATTCAGTCAGATAATATGTCTCTTGAGATTTCCTTATTTCTTTTTCAATACGGAAATTAATACTTCCGATTTTTCTATATTATAACATGGTACTATATTTTTTTTTTTTGTTTTTATTCTTTATAGAATTCAATGCTATTAATAAAGTTCTTGAAAATCCTGAAACTGAAGTTAAAATAACAAATACTGATCAATCATTACAAGAACAACAACCAATTCTTACACGTAATGCTCGTTATTCAAATCGACCTAAAGTACATTTTCAACGTCATAGTCATAGTCATCCACGATGTCCATGGCCATTAGCACGTCGACCATATCGTGGTGATTATTCTATTCATGGTGATTGGCATCCACGTTTACCTCATCATCGTTTAACATGTCTATGTTAATAACATCTTTTTTCAATATATCATCATAGATACATAATTGAATATTATATTTTCGAAATAAATCTCTTAATTCTATACTTGATAATATATTAAATTCATATTGTCGTTCAATTGATTGAGAAAATTCATCAGTTTGTCCTATACCACACCCACCTATATATGGATCACTTGGATAACCTGGATGACACATAAATTCAATTAAAATATTTTTTTTTCTATTGAAAATTTTTTCAAATAATTGAAAACATTTTTCAAGATTATTCAATGTTAAATCTTTACCCATTATTGTTATGCCAAAAAAATATTTTGTATATAAAATTGAATATTTATTAAAAATTTTCATAGCTAATTTTGTTTGATCAATTATATTTTTATAAAATAAATTATCTATATCATATGTTATAATCATTTGATCATATGGTGTACGTATATAATTTATTTCATATAATTTAGCTAATCGTGCAATTATTTCAACAATCATTGGATGTACATGTATATGTTGATGTCCATCAATATGTTTTGGTAATTGACCATTTGTTAATTCTTTATATTTATTTAATTGATTTATTAATTCATATTCAATATGTTCTTGTTGAATATTACCTTGATCTAATTCATAACGTAAACCAAATTTTCCATGCATTATACCATTTGAATTAACTAAAGATTTTATTTTTAATAAATCATTTGTTATAGGTCGACCTTCAGTTAAATTAAAATGAATACCCATTGGAAGATTATATTGTTTTGCATATAAACATGCTTGATAAGCATTATCACCATTAACAAGAAGACTTGTTGATGTAATAGATTTTTGTTTAAATAAATCAATAATTGCTTTATCTCGTTTTGGACAATAACCAAAATCATCTGCATTAATAATCATATACATGATGTTTTTATTTGATGCTAACGTTGAGTAAAAATGAAAAAAAAAAAACAGCTGGTGCACGTGAATAAAAAGAAACTGCTTTTTATCAGGTCGCTAAGATAAGAACGATAGTTTCGTTAAATAGAAAATTAATTTTCTTTTGTAATATTTTTATTCGATCAATGTGTTATTGTACATCTCGAATATTCCCATTATAAGATAGTATACGATTTTCGGCTTTTATTCTTTATTTGTGCTCGTGTATGAATATTTATTTATAAAAATTATATAAACTAAATGCAAACAAAAATATGCGCTTATAAGATATTAACAAAAATTATTTTTATTCTAAAATAATACAATATACAATTTAAACAAAAGGAAAACTTACTTCTATATAAGAGTACTTCCTCCATTCGTAACTCAAAATCTTAAAATAATCTTCTGGTGAGTTTTGGCAGATCTTATAAAATTAGTCCTGGATAAAAAATATAATATACACATCACATTTTGGTTCTAGTTGCTACAAAAGAAATTCGCGCCCTCTATATCTCATAGAAGGAGACATTCAGAAATTCATAGTCTATGACAACTTTTGTTCTACTAGTTGAGATCTATCCACCCTGAAAGTTTAAGAATTTTTGGTTCAATCCTTCTTGAGAAAGCAGAACGGATGGTCTTCATCAAATTATCTGCAAAGTGATTTTCTTAGTAGATCAGCACTACTATATAGAAGACGTACTAAAAAATGATTGGTCTTACTAAATTTCGATTATCAGATTTTGTAAGAATCGTATAGTTAGATAAATATTAAATCTTACAGGAAGATATTTGTACGATTTTGTATAAGAGCAATACAGTATGAATCTTAGAGCACATAATTATCAATTAGATCTTATAGGACCAGGGGCGTAAGTAAGGTACCAGAGCAGGGGGGCGTAATCCTGGTTTTTCGATTTCGATCAGGGGCGACGCAAAAAAGGTCAAAGCAGTGGGGTATCTTTTTACAGCGATGATCAAGGTGAGCGGGGGGNGTAGATTTTTGTAGTCGGTCACTGATATGTTTGCTGTATTTTTAGAAAAGTCGGAACAATGAATTGCAACGACGAACATTCAATATGCATAAGCATCGATCTCTAATCAAACCGATGTTGATTACTAACACCACAGGATATATCGTTGTTGCCTATGGACCTTATTTATCCGATAGTTCAAACAATGACGCAGCCATGCAAAAAGATATATTGATCAAAAATAAGGATGGTATTTTAAATTGGATTGCTGAACATGATATAGTAGTAGACAGAGATTTCCGGGATAGTACTGGAACGATGCAAGCTTTAGGCCTTGATGTATGTATGCCAGATTTTCTTAATGGTCGACGTCGATTCGATGCACTTGAAGCAAATCGATCACGCTTTATTAGCAAAATTCGTTTGGTGGTTGAATCGGCTAATGATCGGGTGAAGCATTTCAAATGGTTAAACCAGACAATTCAAAGTTTCAACAATTCCTCAGGTTCGTGATTACGTACAGATTGCTTGTGCTCTTGTTAATGCTTACCGAGCCCCTGCTATTTCTTCCTTTTCAAATGATGATCAAATTGCCGCCAAGATGTTAGCCTGCCTTCATGAACCAAATTTACTTCGTACACGCCTTAACAACGAAATTCTCCATTGGTCGAACAACGATGCATCTGACCTTGCTCATTTTCCAATTCTTACACTTTATCAAATTCGATTAATCACCGTCGGTATGTAATGATGTTGCATTTTTAATAAATATATCCAATTGGTTTTCTTGTCCTAATCATTAAAAAGACGCATTACTTATGTAGTAAGTTATTCTCTTTCTGGTGAAGCGATTTCTTTTAAACGCCAACTATCATTATATAAATGGCTTTATGTAAGTTCGCCAATCTGGAATTTCGCCAACAGTATATTCGCCATTGGCGAAATTCCCCACGAAATTCGCCAATTGACGAATCTCTAGTATGAAATTCGCCAATAAATATTTATTTTTGTCTTAGTATATTCGCCAATTGGCAAACGTCGTGGAGAAATTCGTCAATTTGGCGAATCTCTAGTGTGAAATTCGCCAATTGTAATCCGTAGAATTATGACTCAACTAAATTGATGATAGCGTGTGGGTGTGAGTGTTGTCCGCGTGCGTGTTGGTAGGTACCGGTAAGCGCATGAAATACTCACACCCACACCCACAAGGTACATGTTCGACTAAGTTGAACACAGACAAAACAATTGTTTTTTATCGTTGTACTTATATACACTTGAGCTAATTCAGTTGGATCGGTAACAATATCAAGTACTACAGTTGAGTTACAACTCAATTGATTTAAATTGGCGAATCTTTAGTGTGAAATGCGTCAATAAATATTTATTTTTGAATTATTATATTCGCCAATTGGCGAATCTCTAGTATGAAATTCGTCAATTTGGCAAATCTCTGGTGTGAAATTCGTCAATTTGGTGAATCTCTAGTGTGAAATTCGCCTATAAACTTTTTGTTTCGCCATAGTGTTTTCGCCAATTGGCGAAATTCACCACGAAAAGCTAGTTGATATTCGCCAGTTGGCGAAAAGTACAATTGGCGAGAAGAAAGATTGGCGATGGTATATTTCTCCGACTTCTCCTATCTAATAATAATATATGTATTAAAAATTTCTATTGCGTACCTTTGAGACCTTCATAGATGACGCCATCATTATTATAGCAGAGCATCGATGCAACTAAGGTAGTACCTTCTATTGAAATTTGAAGAATACGCAATAGAAGTTAATAATACATACATTATTCAATAAGCTAAGTCTTCCTCTACAAACCTTTATATATATATATGTCATTCTTGAGTCATAAGTCATCATGAAACCTGTAGTCATCTTTGTCAATTCTGATTGACTACCAAAATATTGGTTCTTTGTTTTTACTTCGAACGCCAAACATTGTTTTTGTTGTATCGAAATTATAAATAATTTTCAATTTTTCGAGTTACACCCATATGCGTACTTATGGAAGGATGCTTCATCATTTTGAGCTAATTGTCATAATCCTGCAATTGATATTCTTATTTTACCATCAGCTGATGATTACCCTGTTTGCGAAGTTAATTTAAATGATTATGTCTTTGTCTTTAAATATCGATTAATTATTTTAAAATGCTCTTCGATAGACTAGTTTTGAAGTAATACAAACCATTTGTGATTGATTTTCTTTATTCGTATAAGAAACGTTTTCTAGAGAATTTCAATGATTACAACTGTTAAGTCTAGTATTGATATTCATGCTGAGTGCAAGTCTTTTCTTTGATACCCATTAAATAATCATTGTTGTGAAATATTAAAGATAGAATTAATTCAATATCATTCGAAAAAAAAATTTTTATTCAAAAATGACACCAAAAAACAATTAACAAAAATAAAAGTTAATCATTTCTCATATTTACTACAGCTAAATTAACTTTAGCTTGAAGCTAATATACTCTTCGTCGTATTCTGACATTGTCAAGTCTCTTTGTACTTAGGTAAGTTTATTTAAAATGAAACGAAATGAAAATTATTATTATTATTTCTTATTTTATTTGTAGACGTTATATATTTCACGCTCCTATCAATCATCGATATTTGATATGTTGTAGCTACATTTTGTGGTCATGATCTTTTTCTTTATAATTGTTTTTTTTTCCCAATACTCTTTATACTAATCTTATTCCATTTTCATTTTGTTAAAATGAAATAACTGATGTATGGGTATGTGAAACAATGTCTTATCTAGTAATAATTAACAACACCTTTTTATTTACTTTAACAATTAATGTAAAAACAAAAAAAAATCGGACGGAACTGAATTTTTCTTGTCCAGTGTCAATGAATAGAAGATATCTGAAATAGAAGAGTTTTAATATTTGAATGGTATTATTCGAATAATGGTGCACTGAGTGTTGTTAATCGACGACATCGATCACGATTTGTATTTCGACCAATATTCTAGATGAATAAAAAAAAAGAAGAAAAACATAAAATATAAAAATAAATTTGTTAAAGTTTGTAGAAAAATCTTTTATTTGTATACAATAGATATCAATTAAAAATACTAATATTAAACATTTTCATTATGTTTGAAAACATATACTTGACATTGTTATTTGCTAAATTTTCAGAGAAGATCAATTAAATGAATATTTGCCAATCGTTTTCTGAAAAATTTTGCTTAGAATTTTTGTTTATTGATATACGATAAATCTGATTTTGTATTTTCCCAGTAGTCTTTAATTGCATATAAACTTTGATAGGAATGGGATAACGAGGTGCAGTTTTCACCGTTCAAAATAAATAATCTAACTGCATGATTGTACTGAAAGCTATATGAAGATAATATACGAGTTTTATCCTGACGAATATGCTGGAAAAACATGCGCACGATCTACATCCACGCCGTCTAATATTACACTTTAAACTCGTAAATAAATTACGATAAAAATTTCGGATTCAAATGTTGACCATGAACATCCGGATCTAGTACATTGCTCATATACAAATTTATGTATCATCTTCATAGTACTATAAGTATTTCTTTTTTTTTTTTTTTTGAAGTCCATTTACTAACATTTCGCTCTCCAGTCGAGAGATACATGGAATCATGCAATGGTACAATCTCTCGCAAATTATGAAAGCTGCAATTTCCTATCAACAATTCTTTGCAATCAATGACTTTACTACTCTGTATGTATATCGTAAAAGAAATGAATGCTTATATTCGAAAAAATGTGTACATGTTTAAATTTGTTCTATTTTACTCAATTGTGCTTAATATTAAATAATAAGATTTGTAGCATCTATATGATTTTAATTTATCTATTATTTACGACTAAATAACCGTATTCGCAGATATACTGCTTGCTTGTATTATTCATTCTCTTAAAAATTACATATAAAATCAATGTAATGAAAATCAATATAAATGATTTAATCGTGCGATCTTTGTTATTTCAAAATTTGAATAATAATTATTCATACATAAACTTTTATAAATTCTTTTGTAAATTATATATTTAAAGTCTTGGTTTGAATCGAGAATGCTGCATTCACTAACATACCTAAAAAAAAAGACAATATTTAACTTCAATATCACTTTCTAAAGTGTCTTTTCAATAGTATATTCAATTAATTATTTGTTAACTACCAAGGCATATTTCGATAACAACCAAAATTATAGGATGAATCATTTCAGGATAAATATTTGCTTTTTTTTTGAGAATTGAGAACAAAAAAACTCGATATAATCACATACATATGAATATGCTCTATGGCTGAGTGGTTATATTGATCAAAATGTATTCACAAGATGCTATGCTAAAATTTCAGTGTCACCTGACATAAAAAATGATCCTGGACAAGTCACTAACGGTTATTTGTCTTGTATTACTCATCCGATAGCATGCTGACTGCACTGATCTGTGTCAGATGATCAGCCTTCAATTCATAGCTACAGCTAGCATTAATAGTAGAGAAAATATTGGGATATTGAGTCTGCCGAAAACCAGGGATATTCTTCCTTCTTATTGAAAAGCAACAAACAAAAACACTTGTAATTGTAAGCAAAAGTTTGTTCCATATATCCCTCTATAAGAATATATCAGTTTACATCGAAACACATTTTCTATTCAAATTCATTATATAAAATATTCGTTGCACCTCTCTCTTTCAAATTTTATAGGCAAAATACTGAATTTAGATGATATTTTCAAGTCATTTTGGTTTTAAATTCAAAATTAGATTATTTTTCAAACATTTTTTAATCAAAATACTTGGAAAAAGTTACTCAATTTATTTACATGACTTTCAAGTTAAAGATACCTCACTCTTTTGAACTACTTTATATTCTCTGTAAGTCTACAACTGGTACAGGTCAAACTTTTTATTCCAGTTACATTATCCAAACCAATGGAACCTATGTTCAAGGAAAAATAATCTTAAAACCAGATGCGATGGGTTTTTGAAGATTCCTTCAAAGCTTCCGAAAACTTACACTTAAAATTTTTACCTCGAACATGCATCTCATTATATTCGATAATCTAGCTCGGATAAAACTTTGAATGCAACCAGATACATTCTCGCGAAAAAAACAGAAGCAATCAAAAAGAGACGAATATCCTTAAGTCAACAAAAAAAAACGATTGGTTTAATTCAATTACTAATACGCAGTTTCATTTTTACTAAGCATTAATGTCCCAGACTGAATGTCGTTAGTGCACACTGCTATAAAAAAGACATATTTCAATAGAATTACTATTTCAATGTTGCAGCGAACTCGGATGTCAAGATAATTGGTACCACAGTGCGCCCATTTGTCGATAACTCACCGTTCAGTGTTTACACCGACACTGCGCATCCTAAAATTCAACATTTGTTTTTTTTTTTTAAACTTTGCAATGTGATTCTAGATTTGAAAAAAACATATTCACATGCATATAATCGCATCGAGTGTTTTTTTGATTCTCAAATGACTGGTTCTATAATTTTGGTTAATACTGTATAAATAAACTTTGCTCTTTTTCAATGTTTAACTATTGAAAATTCCTTAATAAGATTTCATTTTTACCTTTGTCATGGTCGTGGAATCATTGAGATCAATGTTTTGTTCTAAATAACAATATGGAATATTTGTTGTTTTCATCTTTTCTTCATAAATATGATAAGCAAATCATTCATTTACATAAATGTTAAGTTTTTTTTTTGTTATACCGACTATATATACATTCTACTTCTTTGTTGAAAAAAACCGTTGGCAATATTGACCCACAGATTTTCCCATCCATAGCGTTAGAAAAAAAAACATGAGTTGAACAAAAATGCACACAAACATGCAAGAAATAAACACATATCAAAGGGGAAAACTATTATATGCAAGAAACAGTGTAGAGAAAGGCAAAATCGAGTTAATCACAAAAAAAAAGACACAGAAAAATATATGTAGAAAGAGAGATAGATAGATAAATAGTAAATCCTCTATAAGTAGGCATATAATCAGCTTAGCATAGCAGCGTGTCAGTCAGTCAAGACCTAATTTACCGTCGTGCGATATATGAAAGAGTAGATCATTTAATGCATGTGCACAATATGTTTCTGTTATTGATTCAGTTAACTAAAAAATTAATAAAAAAAAAAAAAAAGGATATAAATTTTTTGAATATTTTTACAAAATTAAAATAGCTAACCGGTTTCCATGGCACTGGACTATCGGTAGGCGGATGAACAAATGTTGGACCAAAATTAGCTGAAACCTGAAAAAAATTTAAATACAAATAGTTTTCAATTTATAATCATCTTCTACTAGAAAATGTTTAAATTCGGTGTGTAGAATGTCATATGTTCGAAATCAGTTTCAGTTTTGGCAACTGATACGAAAAATGTAGTTAGATTTTCTATGATTTTGAGTGAATTATATTCTAAAGTAACACAATAGATTGATCACATAAAATGGTACGTTTGGGCTGCAATTTTCAGAAATGAGTTACTCTAGTGAGAAATACTTTTGATCGAAGTTTCAGCCCGATATATTAAATTAGAGCGAACTTTCGCCTTATTTATAGCCTTCAGAAAAATCCCTATAACTTCATCACTACAAGAGATACAGAACTCGAAGGAGTTTCAAATGAAAGCAAGTACACTGTGCGAAGTATTTTTCCGAACAGAATTTTGAAATTCACTTCCATTCATTTTCTATGATCATTTTAGTACATACAGTGTTAAAATAAGCAAACAAAAATGGCCCTTCACAACACTAAACTTAGCTTTTCTCAATACAAAAATCAACTGTAAAAAAAAGTCTCGTTGAGGATAAGTTTACTCTGATCTAGATGTTTAAAACAAACAATAATATCAGTTATATTTTGAACCATTTTAAATCCAGAAAATATATATATATATATGTAAGTAGGTTTTTTAAAAGTACGTAACAGATGACGTAAGCTAGCACCATCTAAAAAGACAGTCTTCCTAAAATTTCGCTGCATCTTCATATGACAGAAACTTAACTTTCTTTTTTTTTTTCAAAAAATGAATTTTCTAAGAGAAGACGCCTCAAAAGTTATTATCGGAACTAAAATAAATCCGGATCCTGCGTATATTTAATTCGAAACATTTAAAATAATTCTAATTCTTGTTAATCCTTATAAGTTATCGATTCTATAGTTATCTTGAAATCTAATTGAACTCATTCTGAGAAGATATTTTACAACTTTATTTTTCATTTAATTAACATTTTTTGTTTGTTTGATGATAATGGTATTCATTTCAATAGAATAGTAAATCAATCAAAAAACTATACATTAAAACTCAACAAATAAATCGCACCTATCGCTTTGCGACGGTGACTAACAAGACTGAAACTATGCTTAATAATGTCATGAGATCCTAATAGACCCATACTTCGAAATTTATTCACAAAAAATTCGACAAGAGTCTTATGCATCGACAATAGACTCGTGATTAGAGAAGAAGAATAGTCCGCGAACGAACTGACTAGAGAACATTTCCAAGTAATAAATCGCTTTTAAGCTAGAAGAGTATTCAAGCTGCTGGGTCTTTATTGCTGAGATATTTTTCCTGTACGGTTCCATTTTACAAGCAAAATTATATTTTTGAATTTCAATCTCAAACTTTGCCTACAGAGATGTTCCAATTAGACTAACTTGTAAAAAAAATTCAACAGTTTTCGACTACGTTTCTGCGAGACACGAATTTTTCAAAAGTAATCGAAAAGCATGACGATTACAAATGAATCTCAAAGTTAAATTAGAAGTGCATCAGTCTTGTGCTCTTCATCGAGTTTGATGCAGTATTATATTACGTTCTTCTCAATCGAATAGATTACACACATGTAATTTATACAGTAAAAATTTTATCATTGAATTTAATAAAAATGAAATATTTAAAAGAAAAATACCATATTTTGTTTTTTATACTTATCAGATAGAAATGACACATAATCTCATTAGACGACAGTTCTACCAATATCAATCATTTATGAGAAGAAAAATTGACTATCATGCTTCAAGTTCGATTAAGAAAACTGTTTTCCAATTATTTCTCAATCTAAATATCTCAACTAAGCAGTGGCGTACGCAGAAATTTTTCAAGGGAGGGCCCAACTTCGTAAGGGGGGGCCCGCCATGGCACAAAAAATTTTTTATCACGCGAAAATATTTTTTCCTGTACCCCCCTTCAGGACTTTTTCGTCTCAAGGGGGGGGNGCGTACTTGCCCGTGCCCCTCCGAAGGTCTCTGTTGGCAGCGGGGGGGGGGAGGGGGCCTCCCCCCCCCCCCCCCTGCGTACGCCACTGCAACTAAGTAAAAACTATCAAATCACCAGATAGATTTATATAGCATTGAACCGAACATATAGACAAGATGGTTCCTCGCTCATGTCTAATTAAGTAATGTTAAAGTTATCTAATTTACCGTTGCACCATAATAAATAGAAATAGCTGCATAATAATTTCCTTCATGGATGTTTGTAAATGCTACACCTTGATTAACACCATTCTTATAGAAAATAATCTATGAAATTAAAAAAAAGAAAGACTAACTTATAAAAAATATAAAATAACTTTTTGTTTCCTTTACTTTTCCACCATTTGTTGATTTTAAATTTGCTTCTCCTGCACGTAAATCATCGCGTTCTTCAAAATAAATATAATTTTTAAATTTAACTAATGGCTAAAAATAAACAAAATATTTTATAAATCCTCTTCATAATCTCATATATTGGAGCTGACTTTTCAATTTCAAAGTCAACTAATGTCCATTTAAAAAAATGGCGGCTGTGAATTTTTCATAATATTTTTAATAGAAAAAAAGATAGAGAGCTGATATTTTTACAATTTAAACGTACCCTGTAAGGAGACTCAGAAAACATCTTATGGAAACCTATAATATACGATTCGGTGTGATTTTATCTTAGTGCTCTATTTTATTTTTATGAAAAGTTATTCAGAAAATATCTGACTTGCCTTTTTTTTTTTTTGAAATGGACATTAATCGAATTTTAAGTTGAAGAAGCAACTAGTGAGGGAATCTTCTCAGCTGTCAGATGCCGTTCGGTCTCATGGCGTGCCTATGTGAAGATCTATAAGTGTAAGCAAATAGAATTTCTTAGTTTCCCCTCAACAGATGTTTTCTTTATTCTGTGAAAATTTTAAAATTGAATTTTCATTTGATACACGCATCAGAGTCATATTCATTTAAGAAGTTCATATATGAAGTTAAAACAAGAATAATAGATTGATTTCTTCGTCTATATCAATATTGTTTGGAGTACCATCAAGTGCAACATCAGTCTTCATTGTATATGAGAAAAATTCAAATGCCCAAAATGTGATCATGGTTCCTCAAGCAAAGAAAAAAAAATATTCTTGACTTATATCTTCTTTTCTGCAGTAAGACTTAAATGAATACTATCTTGAATATTTATGATTGTCTCGTGCGTGTATCAAATGAAAATTTGATTTTATGACAGCCATATCTCCGTCTAGTCTTACTATAGATCTGAATTCTTTGTTTTTTTTTAATCTCACTAACTAGAAAATATATTTACGGTATCAAATCACTTTTCAACCGAAATGATATGTATTTGATAACCACAAGAAGGAATTTTATTGGTTGAAAGCTGTAGTCACGCTTATGTGATAGTATGTCCGATTGTGAAATACTCAATATTTTAAGAATGAAGACCTAGAAAACCAAATCATTACAGACTAGTATTCATCAAATGAACATCGTTTTGATCGAAAAGTCATTTGCCATTCGAAAAGATTTTCTCATTAGTTGTCTTTTCAATTTTAAAATCAATGTCGAGAAAAATATTTATTTACCAATTTTTTATATTTTCTTGGTAACATAACATCTGGTGGTGTTGTTTCAGGTAAAATAATTAGAAATCCAAGTACATCACTTTCACCATAACCTTCATTGGAATAATGTAAACCACAAGCTTCATGAAATATTGTTCCTTTTCTTGAACGCCATGAATAACCAAACTTATCTGTACCAATTGGTGTTTGTAAATTAGCTAAATGTTGTGCCCAACCAATACGTGTTGCAGTATCTGGAGACATTGATGTTATAGTTACTTCATAGTACCATGCACCATGAGATACAGCTAAGAAATAATAACACTTGTAAATTTTTATTATAAAATATAAATATTTACAATGAGTTGATCGAACAGAACAATAACCTTTATCACCAGTGACTGTTAAACGATCATCGTTTAATTTTAATTGTTGAGCTAAATGATAAAAGAAATTCTTTTTTTTTTTTATTTTATTTACATGATGAAGTGTTTACCTCGATCATTTAATGATAATAAGCATTCATTCTCAATAAATGTTCGATATAAATGTCCCGGTATTGGTTTTCCTATGAATCATGTAAATTTGATTAGATGAAAACGAATTTAAAAAAAAATGTAGACTTACCAGCCCATACTTCAGTTTCATCAAATTTTTGTCGAAATGGTGAATGTGGATCTGGTTCAGCTAAATGATATCTTCAAAAACAAATAATAAAATCTTTCAAATCAATATTTTTTTTTCTTTTTATTTTACGAACCTATATCCTTCTTTATTGAATGGATATTCAGGTGGAAAACTTTTTGGTATTAATCTTTCTAATTTTGGTACATCACCACGTCTTTTAGCATTCAGAGAATTTTCAGTTGCTAATTTTCGTTTACTTGTTCGACGTGTTACTTCACTATTAGCTAATGATGTTACACTATTCGCTGATGATGAACCATGAAATGTTCCATTACCAGATTGATTTGTTTGTAATGGTGTTATATTTGATGATGGTACAATAGGATTCGTTGTATTTGGAGATTGATCACGAAAAGCATTTGGATTCATTATTTCAAAAATTTTTTCATTCATTGGACCTATTTTATCAAGAGATTGTTCACGTAATGCAATCATTAATTCACCAGCTATGTCCGATGAAACAAAAAGATCTTCACGACCCTAAAAAATTCAGTTACAAAAACTTCAATTGAAGTTAATACCTAAAGTTTAGATTCAAGTACAAGTGTTTGTATTATCAAAACTAATTTTTCACATTATTCATAAGGCCTTATACTAGAAGAGAGTATTACTATCGAAAACTGTAATTAAATTCTTTCTCTATCTATGGCCTTCACTCCTTTAATACATAGCTGTCTATACATATAACAGTGCACAAAAGTGTTGGTAATGAGACAAATACAGAAGCAATTTCATCAATTTTTTTACTTGAACATTTATACGAGAACAGAAAAGAAGATAAAATTTCTTTAAGGTTTTTATAGGGGATTGCTTCTGCTATTACTTTTGATATGTTTCAAGTATATTTTAAACTCATCAACGAAAATTTCACCAAGAATGATCAAACAATCGAGTCATTCAATAAAAAACACTTTAATTAATATCAAAACTACAATGAGGACATAACCCTTATACATTGTTGAATTCTGTGTAAGACTTTTTCTGAATATATAATTTATTATTTGACAAAAATGATTTACCAATGCTTTATAAACTGATGCATGTAATGTTGGTTTATTTTTCTTTTGTGAAAAAGTTAATAAATCCCATTTTTCATCAATAAATGGTAATATTTCCTAAATAATGATTACATAATAAAAATTAACAAAAAAATCAAAATAATATACTCGATCTCGAGAAAAAAATGTTTGTGATGATGATTGTTGAGTTAAATTAGCTAATACAGTTGTACATAATTGATTGAATGCTAAAAAGTAATTTTTCTTTTTTACATATATTGATTTTAGTTTTCTATTATTGAAACATACTTGCAGTTTTTTTTACAAATTGTTCTTCGGGTTTATTTGGCGAACAATCTTTACATAAAAAATGATAATTTGTCATAAATGGAAGCATTGGTCTAATAAAATAAATAAAAATAATTTAGACTATTAAAATTATTTGCAAAATATACCCAGTTGTAAGAGAAATACAATCATGATGACAATATCGAAGACAAAGACAACATTGAACTTCAACTTTAGATAAATCTCTATCAGCACCACTAGAAAATAAAATCGAATATCTTCGAGATCATGTTTTTTGTTTTGTTTAGAGATTTACAAACCAATAACAAGTTGGTGGTTTATTTGCCATTTCAATATCGTTCGGCATCTGTAAAAAAAAAGAGAAGATTAAAGAAATTGAAATGAATTTATATTGAATGACAGTTTACAACAACCAATCAGATTTAATGTAATCATTTTAGAGGCTAGTTGTCTCTAGTGTTTAATAGCAGAATGGAAACATATTACTGTCGAAAAGAAAAGAATTAATTCTGTTTAAAAAAGACGAGATAGTTACTCTGAAAAAGTAATAGATGGGCCAATCACGAATGAAATTTTGGATTGTTTAACTTTGTGCATTCTTTTTAGTGATATCTAGAATTAAATGTACAGTAATATTTCTATAATGCAACGAAGAAATATTTCCAAAGGCTAAAACTTTAATGAGATCGTCTTATTTTTCGAACATGAAAATTTTAATTTTTTTCGATTTCTTACCGTTTATAGTCCCTAGATTTCAAAGTCTTAAGCAGAAAAATCGTGCTAGGATTATTTTATCCAATACAAAATTCTTCTTTCATAACGATTATTGTTCATTTCGAAGGTGCTTGCCGCATTAATCATAGATCACTAACATCATTGAACGCAGCCAGTTTTCCATCAATCAAGTTGAAAAAAAAATTTTGCTTTTGGGTTTTCTCGTAGTAGGCTTTTACACAAAAAAAAGTGCAGAATTGCTCCTCGTGTCTTCGGAAAACGACATTCGATTATGCTGAAATTTTTAATTGCAGGTACTAGACACTGTTTGGTATTCTTACATTTTTTATTTTGAGTATGTGGTTAAAATAAAAAACTAATATGACCAAAAATAAAATACTATGTAGTTCTAATAAGGGAGATGGTATTTTATTTTTTTGTGTATCGTTGTGAATGGATTAGTAGAAGATGGAAGATTGATTTTAATGAAAGTGATATAGCCTTATGAATTTAATTATAACTAATGAATTGTTAATAGAATAAATGATAAAAAATATTGATTGTTAGATGTTTCATGATTTTGAATAATATTATTGACGAGTAGGTCTAAAAGGAAAGGTTAATTTTCTTTTTATTTTTAAGAATTCATTCACCAACTAAATTTAAGGATGTGAGTGTGATTTAAATGAAGACGCGAATTAGTAATGTAATGAAGTAAAAAGAAAGAGCAAATAAATAAATTATTAAATTTTGTTTTTCTTTTCGTTTCTTGATTTATTTTAGTTTTTTTGTTATTTTAAAATTCCGTGCGATCTTTTGTATGCTTTTGTTCTTTTTTCTTGGAGGTTTTTTGAAAATGTGCACAGAAGTATCTGATTTATAACAATTTGGGAAAGGCAAAAAAAAATAAAAATGACTTTTTTTATAACGTAGATGAAGTTATGATGCGTTCCAGGTGTTCTCATTCGTATTCCAAGTAGATTTCCACATTCTCTATCCGATAGCACAATCAGACTTACGCTATCTCATACTAGCCTTTCACAAATTGAAAATGATTATTTTTTCCTATAGTCTATACTGAACCCGAAAAGTAATTCCAACACTAATTTCCCTATGTTTAAGATGTAAGATGATTTGAACAAGCCATACGACATATTTCAATCTTTGAAATTCTTTCACGAAACACACTCACACTCTGGTGGTTCCCTCAATCGGGATGAAATCGCAATAATGATTTGTTAGACACATTCAAGACCCTGAACATGATGCGTTTATTCTCAGTACTCCCAACATCTTCCATCCATGGGAGTGTGGATGCGTGTATAAGCAACGAGACGTTCAAGAAAATGTGGTTGTTTGCACATTTATCTAACCTGTAGAACAGGAAGCGGAGTTATTGTTTTTTTAGACAAAAATGGTAATAGAGTTCAAAAGGCGCTCCGATGCACTGCAGAATGCTTCATAAGAGATTGTGATCAGATCAAAACCATAAAACTATAAAGTTACGACAATTGATACCAGACTTCAACTATATTGAATTGCTCTTTTATCGCTCTTGTGATCAGCGTGTTATACCAAGTAAAGAACGGTCGCGAAGTTCAGAGTACAGAGATGATTTACGACATGTTGATGTAGGGATGATTGATTTTATCTTCTATTTGCTTATTTTAATTGATAGCCAAATCAACTATAAATTCTCCCGGTAGTATGTGATTTCAGCAAAGAACAGTGTCATTCTTTACTTCGTGTTTTGTTTTCAGCTTCGTCTTTCCGGTAATACTCGGTTTTGACAGATTTTTTCGACAATTCCGGTTCAAAAATGTCATAATCGTTGGCGACTCATATTCGGACACGGGCAATGTTTACCGAGTTTCTGACCATACGTGGCCTCTGTCGTCCTCGTATTATCATGGTCGATTTTGCAACGGTTTCAATTGGGTGGACCTGTTGAAAATGCCCAGTGTGTTGAATTATGCATACGGGAGTGCGACAGCCGACAATGACTTACTGCAAGGCTACGCAAAGTTCAATACTATTCCAATACCTGGAGTTCGTCAGCAAATTCAAATATATTTTGAGACAAATTAAACTTAGCAAAATCGACTTCACACGCACTCTCTACAGTTTTTGGGCTGGTGGCAACGATTTGCTTTTCGAGTCGACTTTAATTCCATCTGCGATCGTGAGTAATCTTTTGATTGAAGTCAAGGATCTACTTGATATCGGAACCAAACATATTCTAATATTTCAATCAAATCCAAGTCCAAAATGTTCTAATTACGCAAGCGCTCGCAGCACCAAATGTTTTAAGTTACCTTACAACTTTATCTAATTAAGTTCTGATAACTGGTCTCCGAGCAAACTAACAAAGTTATCCACAAGCATCGCTCAACATTTTCGACATCAATGCACTTATCTCGAAAGTAGTTGCGCGCAAGTCTGACTACTTTACAAATACTACCACCAATTGTTGGAAGTCTGTGAATGCAACTACAGTATTGAACTTGTGTGGAGATCCTGACAGATTTGCCTTTCTCGACGTGGTACACTTCACCACTCGTGTGCATGAATTGATTACTAATACTCTTCGCCCATTTCTTGTAATTTCACACGATGTTAACAGTTCTGGCTGCTATGCGCATCCCGCCTAACACATGATAATTGTCCATGAGTGTTTTTCGTGACTTGATTCCTTAATAAATTCAATACGACTATATGCTTAACTTCTTCTGAAAGATACACGTATCGAGTAGTTCAGACTAGAGGCCAGTCTCAACATTTCATCAATATTGCTTTCAATTTCTATGGCTTACACTTGAGTATTCTAAACATGTTTTTGTTAAAGACGAAACTAACATTAATCTGTATTAATCTATCAATAAAAGAACCACTGAAACACAATTCTTCACCCTGCAATTGCTTTCCTTCTTGTAAGGCCGAGTCGATGTTGTTTTAAACCAACAAATGTCAGTTCTCAATTAGTGCATTGCATTTTAAACGTCGGATATCTTAGATCCGGATTCGAAATTTTTAGGATCGACCACGCCAATGCCCTGATAAAAAGGACGTGCATTCAATTTGTACTCAGATGTATCAACTATTTCTTGTGTTTGCCTTGTTTTCCACGTATTTCATCGATGCATGAGGCAATGGCATTGATGACTTGGATGTGGGTAGTATAATCTGGATCTTCTCCAATCCTCAAGTTACCTGCAAGATGAGGTAGCTTTACTTGTCGAATACCCTTTTTCATTTTTCAACAGTGATTTGGCTCTTGTGGTGAACCCAAGGATCATCGAATAACATTTTCTTTGAATTCTATTCAGCCACATGTCGTTAGATGGGGTTGATGAATGTAAATGTAGATGAATGTATGAAGAAAATACCAGTACTACCTACATGCACACCCTCATTACATGAAATGCCATAAACAAGATGATGAATTTTTCAATCAAAAATTATTTGAAAAATAGCTTCAATAAATATCTTGAAATTAATTGATTGCATGTGATAAAGTAGAGCTACTAGCTCAAATACTTTTTCGAGCAAAAATTTGATTAATTCTTTTCTGTAGATTTTCATCTGCCCAAA